TTGTAATGTCTGACCACAAACTCCAGTCTTCACTTCATCTTCAGTTTGTATGCCTCGCCATTTTGTTTTCTTTCAACAGGTCTGCAGTAAGGATAAAGATAGAGAGACCTATAATACTTTCTTCACAGATGTGATCTTCAAAAAGAACATATATTACATATGTCACATATTGTTTAATACTTCTTTCAAGTAGAAGAAAAGGTGAAACATTTGAAGTTCATGTACTGTATCTTAATCAGACGTTTCGAAGAAAGATATCTGACTCTAATGAATGTTCTTCCGTAGCATAAAATGGCCCTGAAAAGATCATAACAAAGTTTCCAGTTTGTCCCACGTACGTGGGCAAGATTCTTGAACGAGCAAATCACTAAGATATCCATCAAACTCGAATATTTATCTCTGACAAGATTAAATCATTTGTCCAGTGCATTATTCTGAGAGTCACTCGTTTATTTAGCAGCGTGTAAATATCGGTTATAAATACAGAAACGAAGAGCCGTCTTATCTAATCCTCGCGGATTATTTCACGATCGCGTTACGAAAGAACACGTCTCTGCTCCGACAGTGTCGTTTCTCAAGGCTCCGTTGTTCTGATACCAGGCGACCTAAGAAAATGTTCCACGGTCCCCACTAGGGAATTGCTAATACGCTACTTAACGCCGGCGAATAACTATTGATCGCCTGGTAAGCTAGGTTCTGCGGTGCTTCGTAGACCACTGCCAACAAATTTTTAATCCTAATCCAAAGTTTATCGGTGAAAGTTTTTAAGTGCAGGCGAGAGATGAATGGGTTCATTGTATCGTTGTGGTGCAAGGTTTCCTAGAATGTGCATCTTGAAATTATAGGACGTGGATTATCACTTTTGAAGGAGACATTTTAGAATTTTAGGACTTAGGTTTTAGAGCACTGTGGAATTTTAAGGAGATACAACTTGGACTAAGACTGTAGGATTTTAGGATTTCATTTAGGATTTTGGGAGTTCAGAAATTTGAAGCTTCATGAGACAAAGTTTTGAGAACACAGAAGCCATCAAGTTAAGAGAACTTCGAGGTCTTCTTATTTCAAAACTTCAATTCTTGCAACTTTAAGGCTTAATAATTTTGAAACGTCAAGACTTTGAATATACCTCTCTCATTAAAACTCGCATTCGCATTCCAACAGAAAGCTAGAAAATCCCAGAGTACTACAAGTAAAAGCTTTTGATTACGGTAGCTGTATTCTGCAAAGATTAGAGCCTCAGCAGCGTGAAACTAAAACGTCGCTCGTTCAGAAGTGGAACAACTTAATCGCACTAATAGCTGTCACACGGCTTAAAATACCGCTAACCCGTACTACATGCTGACTACAGTTTGGTGTTTTTAAGAAAAGTAACTAGTTCAACGACCTATATGAAACTAAAAATTGAACATCCATCAAGATAATATTACCTGTATTGTTAATTCACGGTGACACGAAGCACAATGATACGGTTTATGAGAGAAATTGAAGTAGCCGAGGGTGTAAGAGAGTATTGAGATCATTGATTTTAATGGCGCACGCTTCGTGGCTGGCCGCTGTCAACGATGAAAAGAGCAACAAGGATTGGTAGACCGGATTCGTCCTTTCAGACGGATGAGTAATGAATTGTCAGCATGTGTCGCTGCGAATCTAGGTCAACGCGTAATTTTATTTTAATTTCCATGGTAGACGATCGATCATCGTTGTAAGCTAATGTCTCGCAAAAACAGTATCAACCAGTAATCAACAACGGGCTGGGGAAAGGTACCAAAATCAATAACTGTATTCAGTTTTACATTCTGTTGCAAATTAGCGTTGTTTAAATTGTATAGTGCAAGGTTATACGGGAGGTATGTTGCGTTGACTGTACTACGCGTGGAGGTACCATGCGTGGAGACACAACGCATGGAGATAGAACGCGTGGAGATACAAGACGTAGGTTTCCCCACGCAAGGAAATATAGAACGTTGGAAAAACTATGCGTGGAAACACTATGCGTAGGGAATACTACGCGTGGAAATATGAAGTGTGGAAATACAGCACATAGATTATACCACGCGTGGAAATACAACGCGTTGGAAATACCACGCGTAGAAATACAACGCGTGGAAATAGGAAGCGTGGAACTGCCAAGCGTAAAATTATGGAGCGTGGAATTACCACGCGTAGAATTATCGAACGTGGAATTACCACGCGTAGAATTATGGAGCGTAGAATTACCACGCGTAGAATTATGGAGCGTGGAAATCCAACGCATAGAAATTCTATGAGTGGTAATATAATGCGTGGAAATACGACGCGTGGACATAGGAAGCGTGGAACTACCAAGCGTAGAATTATGGAGCGTGGAATTACCACGCGTAGAGTTATGAAGCGTGGAATTACCACGCGTAGAATTATGGAGCGTAGAATTACGACGCGTAGAATTATGGAGCGTGGAAATCCAACGCGTGGAAATTCTATGAGTGGTAATATAACGCGTGGAAATAGGAAGCGTGGAATTACCACGCGTATAATTATGGAGCGTGGAAATCCAACGCGTGGAAATACTATGAGTGGTAACATAACGCGTGGAAATACGACGCGTGAAAATAGAAAGCGTGGAACTACCAAGCGTAGAATTATGGAGCGTGGAATTACCACGCGTAGAGTTATGGAGCGTAGAACTACCACGCGTAGAATTATGGAGCGTGGAAATTCAACGCGTGGAAATTCTATGAGTGGTAATACAACGCGTGGAAATAGGGAGCATGGAAATACGCCATGTGGAAGTACCACGCGTGAAAATACGCCACACAGAATATACTACGCGTCGACTACGTAATATGCAAAAATCTAACGCGTGTAACGTGTTATACAACATCTCTAACCTATGTTTACAGACCTCCCACAAATCTAGCGCGTGACTAGTCAACATTAGGCGAAATAGCGCCATATCCAGTAACCCTGAAATATGAAACAGCCCCTGTAATTTTAAACATTTGAAAAGTTCAACTGATACTTTCTTGCATCAGTGCAACTGTCACAGTGTTTTCTCGTCGTGTTCCGCTATTGTTGGCTATCTGATGGAGCTGCAAGTATCGACCGACGTTCACGTTACACAAGGCAAAGTCGAGGATCTTTCTAGTCGCGACAGAAGTCTGCGTGAAAGGAAGTACAAGTAGTTTTTCCATGAAAGCCGTTCGCTCGGTGAAACGTGAAAAAAGAAACGAGGCGTGAGCGTAATTAAACGGCGGTCATACACGATGAGAGGACACATTTAACAGAACAAAGAAATTACGGTTACGTAAATTATGATAACGACCGGCGTTTTATTTACCCTAACTCCAATGAATCACCGTGACGTACGCAAACATTTCATTGGCCTTTAATTAACATTGACCTGACATCGATTTATCTCGGCACCGACGATCTTCGCTTCGGTGCATCGTAACTTCGTCTCGACGTATCGGGCGAACTACCCTCCGTTGAACCCGAAGGCTTTCGTTGTCGGAAAGTATGACGTAAGCTGAATTTTTAGAAAACGAAAACGTCAGCGAATATTCTACTTGCCGAAGTAGATTCAGACCACCGTGTTCAGACAAAGATCGCGATGAAATGAGATGAGGGTTATTTATTTGGATTTGATTTTTGGATACTCCTCAGGTCTTTAAATTATATAGTTGTCATATATCCAACTACCAACACCCAACTCCTAGCTTTCTATCTCCAAATCCCTGCCTCCAAAGTTGCAGATCCCTAAACCCCTAAATTCAATAAGCACATAACTCCTAAATTTTCTAAATCTCTAACTTATCAAATTTCTAACATGAAATCATGCACCTTCGCCAGAACGTTTCATCATCGCACGCTCTCTGCACACCGGTGCCCGTGAACCCGTTATCGGGCACTAGAGGTGCCCAGCACCGTCATAAATCACAAGTTTCATTAAAAAACACAAGGCAAGCGCGGAGTGCAACAATATCTCAGAAATTGCAACTCGGACGATCAATGGTACCGATATTCAGTCCGCAATCGCGTTCTGAACGGAGCGCACCCTCGGGCATGCCCTCTGCCCGCGACTTCCCCGCCCTCTCAGATCGACCCGACTCCGAAAGAGGACTCCCTAAAAAAAGTACCTTTGATCTCGGCGATGTGCGCGTCGTATTCGCTCTTGCTTCGAACGTATTCGATCCTGGCAGCGACGTTCTGGAAGCTCTGGGTATGATATTCCGCGTACCACTCGGAGGGTGTTCGATCGTCGGGACCCAGATGCTGTTGGGGGCTGCTGCCCCTCCTCTGCGACAAACTCTCCTCGGACGGAAATCTCGTGAAAGAGGTGACGGAGCTGGATTTGCTTCCGTGGCTGGGTGCTCCGTGGCTGTGGCTCTGGTAAGCTGAGTCCTCAAGGGCGTGTTCCTCGCTGGGTGTCCTGCTGGTCTCCGCCAGGACCCTCTGATGCGACACGCCGGTACCGGCGACCTCTCTCACGCTTTTCCTCACTGTGATCTTCTCGAATTTCACCACTTTCGCACCGTTCAACTCACCCTCCTCCACCAGCCGCTCGAAGCTCTCCTCGAACGACGAGTCGCTGGCCCTGGACGAGGGTCTGGGGTTGGTGGGCGAGCGGAAGTGACCGACGTTTCGTCTGCCGTCCAGTTCCTGGAAGAGTTCCTCGGAGCTGGCAGTACGTCCTCCGGACCAGACCTGCTCGAAGAAGCTGACCCTGTCCCGCAGCCGACCACCACGTGGCGTGGCCGGAC